TGCCCTGGGCCGGGACTCGCTAGTCAACATTGCAAAGACATCCATGTCCAGCAAGATCATCGGCTCCGACTCTGACTTCTTCGCCAATATGGTCGTAGACGCTATGACTGCTGTCAAGATGACAAATAACAAGAACGAGGTCAAATACCCAGTAAAGGCTGTCAATATCCTCAAGGCACACGGTCAGAGCGCTACCCAGTCGATACTCGTCAAGGGCTATGCCCTCAACTGCACAGTCGCCTCGCAAGCTATGAAGACACGCATCACCGACGCCAAGATTGCCTGTCTCGACATCAACCTGCAGAAGGAGCGAATGAAGCTGGGCGTACACATCACCATTGACGACCCGGAACAGCTGGAGAAGATCCGCGAACGTGAGGCTGGCATTGTTACTGAGCGTATTGAAATGATCCTGAAGGCTGGTGCCAACGTCATCTTGACCACAAAGGGAATCGATGACCTCTGCCTAAAGCACTTTGTCGAGAAGGGTGCCATGGCAGTGCGAAGGTGTAAGAAGGAAGATCTACGGAGGATAGCCAAGGCCACTGGAGCTACCCTCGTCAGCACACTCTCCGACTTGAATGGCGATGAGAAGTTTGAGGCAGCCAACTTGGGTCACGCAGAGGAGGTATCACAAGAGCGCATCTCAGACGATGAGTGTATCCTTGTCAAGGGCACCAAGGCTTTCTCCTCTGCATCCATCATCCTGCGAGGAGCAAACGACTATGCCCTCGATGAGATGGAGCGATCAGTGCACGACTCATTATCTGCCGTCAAGCGTACGCTGGAGAGTGGACGTATTGTCCCAGGTGGTGGCGCCGTCGAGACTGCGCTGCACATCTACCTGGAAGAGTGGGCAACGTCAGTGGTAAGTTGATTCCAACATTTCTTTTCCAGGATTCCGTTGTTAACCATACATGCAGGGTTCTCGTGAGCAGCTGGCGATAGCTGCCTTTGCACAGTCCCTACTCGCCATTCCAAAGACTCTCGCAATCAACGCAGCCAAGGATGCCACTGAGCTAGTTGCTAACCTACGGTCGCGACATGCTCTTTCACAGCGTACAGTGAACCCAGCCGACCCCTCATCGCAAGATGCCAAGCAGCTTGCAAAGTCCAAGAACTACAAGAACTACGGTTTGGATCTTACCAATGGCAAGGTACACGACACGCTCAAGGCTGGTGTGCTGGAACCCAGCATGAGCAAAGTCAAGCAGTTGAAGTCGGCAGTGGAGGCGTGTGTTGCTATTATGCGAATCGATACCCTGATCAAGCTGGATCCGGAAGAGCAAGGCGGCGGTGACGATGGGCATGGACATTAAAATCGCGTAAAGTTTATGCGGGAAAGAAATAGTCCAGAAAAGATAACGACAGCGTAATGAAAAGGCTTCGACATGCCCACGTGCACAACTACAACCCTCGCTGTGCATACGGAATCAACCTTGACTAACTTGAAATGACTGACAGTTGCGGCTTAGGCGCAAGGCTCTTTGGGGCGGAAATCATACCATGATGAGGGGTCGATCAACCCGTGTCGTCCCAAACGAGCCGTTGGCGTACCGGTGAGGCATGTACACCCCGAGCAGCGACCGAGGGTTGCCTGGCGGTCACTTTAAAAGGGAAGTAATGGGGCTAGCGGTTGGTGCCGTGGCCTATCAGAATGGTGGCTACACGACACGGGCGGGTACCGCCTGGCTGTGCTGGCTCAGCTCGCTTACCCTTGAACGTCACTGCACCATGTTCGCTGTACAATCGCTGGCCTGACAACAAGGAAAATACAGAAATGGACATGGAGAGAACCACAGACTGAAACATCAAGACCGAAAAATTGGAGATGTACAGCAGCGGGAGTGCTGTGAACATTGGGAAATGCAGGGCAATACTACTCCTGCAAGACTCATCTCCCTCTGCAGGTCGGATGCCTTGGCACGCTACCCCAGCTGAACAGCCTTCATTGTGCTCGTCCCAGAACTGTACTGACATGCAAGCCCCAGCGGGTCTCTGCGTCGCTGCGCGCCTGACGGTGCTGGAATTAGCATCGCTTGTAGCCCAAACCGTATGTAGGTACCTAGCCCAGTGAAATCTACATTAGCCCATGGTTCCCCCCCCCTTTCTGCTACTGTTCTTCCAATCCATACCAATGGCATCCGTTATGCTCGGACCTTTGCTACTCGCCCTTCTGGTTCAAGATGGCGCTGCTGCTATCATGGCCGCACCGCGGGCTGCGATTACTCCAGCACCAGTGCTAAAGAGAGCCGTCACTACCATTGGATACATTTCTACACGAGAATACGATGGCACTACGTACTGTGAGTCGATATACTCAGTCTACTCTGATTGTTACTGACCTGTCAAAGGGGACACAATCACAGCCAATGAACAGGGCAATGCAATCGCGACATCCAGCAACCTGTTCCAGATCTGTGACCCAGCAAAGCCATGCACGTTCTTTTCCTGCTCAGGTGACTATGTCATCATGCCTTCTTCCTCAATCTTTTGGTATGTTGATTGCATGAACTATGTTCTGTCTTTACCTAAAGTTGCTAATTCATATCGCGCAGTGGAGGAGAATCTAGCACGTGTAGTTACTGGGAATTGGCCACAGACATCAACGACAAAACCCCACTGACGAACTACTGGTGTGATGCCAAGACAAGTGTTGGAGGCATCATCTACAGGACAACGCCAGAAGCTGGTGAGCCAACCTTTCGGCAATGTCGTTAGATAGCATTTCTGACAGAATATTCTACAGGAGCAGCAACAAACACAGCAGCCAGCACTACTTCCACCAGGGCAGCACCCTCCATAACCTTCACATCGGCCACTAATATCGCAACGGATGTGACATCCATTTCTAGCTCAGGGCCAGGTTTGGGCGAAACCAACGATGGTGGTAGCTTGACTAAGCCCAAAAAGAAAAGCTCAACGCCAATAGGACCCATAGTCGGTGGTGTCGTTGGCGGTGTCGCAGTTCTAGCCGGCATAATCATCGCCATCTGGATGATCCTCAAACGCAAGAAGAAGAACAAGACCGACACCAACAACATCACTCAAACCGCACAAGTCCCTCCCGCTGCTCCCCCCGCAGTGCAACAAAACGCCCAACAGCCACCCGCAGGCGTCCAATACTACCACGAACAAAAGCCCGTTTCCCAACCACAGGTACAGCAAGTACCTCCTCCCCAGCCATATGGCCACTATGACCCCAACGCCCAACCAGCCCCCGCACAACCCTTTTACGACCCCAATGCTCAAACGGCATACGCGCAGCAGTCGCAAGCCGGATACGGCGCGCCTTCTCCCGACAAGACCCCCGCACCCTTGGCTACCGGCCAACAGACACATGCATATTACGCAGATAACGCGCCGATTAGCCCTGTGCCACAGTATTCGCCGAGCCCATCACCCGCGATCCCAGCCAATGTGAGTGAGTTGTCGAGTAGCAGGATGTAAATACATTTGTGGATATGAGATGGGATGAAAATAAAATGAGATTGTATAATGGTTATGTTTATGTAGTCTTGCTTAGCGTGAGTGGATGGATGGGAAGGCAGTGTGTGAGAAGGGATGTTGATAGTGATGATTTCGGACTTAATGATACCCTCCTTTAATGAACAGAACAAGCATATGAGCCGCATGCATGAATTCATGTTTTGATGGGCTATCTTACAACACCTAGTGAATTCGTATATCTAACGCTTTGCTCTAGCAGACGGCACCCTCGATATTCGAAAGCTTCTCTACTACTTATCTCACGTGCAATTACCACCTCAACTTCCGCAAAAAGCAATCCACGGGTAACCTGGGACCTCAAGACTCAGGGGGTCTGCGGCGCAACACACTGCACACATCAGTGATGCATAACCACGCCACATTGCCACTTGTATGAATTCATTGAATTCATGACTTCCAGGAAAGAAGCGGTTATTGGACAGCATAAACAGCGCCAAGTGTGACTTCATTTCCACATTTGTCGTATTGGTATCAGATTTGTACGCTAGTGCTTGATTTGTAACTCGCATCATCACTGGGTCGTCTTTAGAGAAACACCGTAGTTTCTGATTTAGATACGCCACGTTTCCTTGGGCAGCACTAGGCAATGTCAATGTTTTCGGTGCTTGTTTGTTTGTTTTTTTCGTTGCCTGAAAGAAGAAATGAATGTGGTTTGAGACGGCGGTTTCGATTATCAATGTCGGGAAGTATTGACGGCCAGTATGCGATTCATGACACCTCAGTGTGTGCCGTCGCTAGAGTACATTCTTTTTCGATTTTCCGGATGCTTCTGAGATGAATGTTTAGCTCATACCAGTCTACTCGTCGCCGGATTTACCAAGGTTACTGCATTTGAGGGAGCACTGAATCGCGGTATAGTCAGTGCAATGTGCCTATAAGTGAACGTTTCTCATTAGAAATGCCTAGAGACTAGAAGAAAGCAGTACTCAGTCTGTTTCAGAAAACTCGAATGATGGCTGGCGAGTTTTATTTGAACAAGGACAACGTGTTATGTATACCGAACTGACCATTTCCACAACATGGGATATTTGCTGGATCGATTGCACTTATTATTATTGAAGAGGTATCACACGTTACCAAAGCTACATGGGACGTAGGTGGTGGCTGAGTTGAGGGAAACTTTAGTTGGGGTTCGGCGTAATAGAGAAGTAGGCAGCATAGCCCGCTCCGCAGTGCAGCCATCTTATCGCGACCAATGGGCATTTGTATTCGATGCAGGTGCATCGATAACGACAACTACATCATCTGGTTTTCTAACTATCAAAGTTAAACTGTTTTCTGTAAACAACGCGGAACTGGGTAGTTTCTAGTCTCCGGAACCAACCCGTCTCTTTCTCACCTCACCTTCTCCGTCGGAAAAGATAAGACGGGTCATATATGTACACCACACCGCTCAACAACATGCTTAGTTGAACAAGCTTTATTGGACATATATAAGGCCTGACTCCAGACAATTATTTGTATTCGTAGTGCAACAAGTAAAATAAACAATGGCTCGACCGTACGAAAACGCAAACATCGACCAACTCCAACGTGATGCAGACGACTGTCTACTCACATACGGAACGGCCTTCCACCCCGAGATCATCACATCTACAGACGACATCTATGTCGAAACCGCATCCGGCCATCGTATGATGGACGTAGGTCAACCTCAACTTTCGACCATCTCCACCAAATAGACCAAAGCTAAATCCTCCATCACAGTTCACTTCCGGCCAAATGAGCACCCTAATCGGCCACGGCCACCCAGAAGTCGTCAGCGTAATCCAAACCCACGCCCAGCACCTCGACCACCTCTTCAGTGGCATGATCAGTCCCCCCGTCATCAGCCTTGCCAAACGCCTCACTAGCGTCGCCCCGCCCGGCCTCGACAAAGCCTTCTTCCTCAGCACCGGCGGCGAAAGCAACGAGGCCGCCATCCGCCTCGCCAAGTTCTTCACTGGAAAATTCGAAATCGTCGGCCTCGCAGCGTCCTGGCACGGCATGACGGGTGCATCGCTCGGAGCACAGTATCACGCAGGCCGTTCGGGGTACGGGCCCAATATGATTGGGAATTTGGCGCTGCCGACGCCGAATGCTTATCGATCGATTTTCCGGAGGGGAGATGGGGGGTATGATTGGGAGACGGAGCTGGATTACGGGTTTGATTTGCTAGACAAGCAATCGTGTGGCTCGCTTGCTGCTGTTATTGTTGAGCCCATTTTGTCGAGTGGGGGGATGTTGGAACTTCCGCCGGGTTATCTCAAGGCGTTGAAGCGGCATTGTGAGAAGAGGGGGATGCTGCTTATCATCGATGAAGCGCAGACTGCGCTGGGGAGAGCTGGTGATATGTTCGCTTTCACGCATCATGCTGAGGATGAGGGCGTGGTGCCTGATATCCTTACTCTAAGCAAGACACTGGGGAATGGTATGCCGCTTAGCGCTGTGCTGACGTCGAACAAGATCGCCAGTCATGCGAAAGAGAATGGGTTTTTGTTTTATACGACGCATATTAATGATCCGCTTCCTGCAGCTGTCGGAGACAAAGTGCTCGAGATAGTGATTAGAGACGACCTTTGTGCTCGTTCCAAGCGGCTCGGTGTCAAACTTCAAGCTGGACTCAAACGGCTTCAGTCTCGCTATGGATGTATTGGCGATGTACGTGGTCGTGGTCTCATGGCTGGTGTGGAGATTGTCAGTGACAGGAAGACCAAGGCTGGTGCTCCTGATGTCGGAGCTGCGGTATCGCAGAAGATGGAAAAGATGGGGCTGTGGGCACAATTGGCTACGATGGCGTCATTTGGTGGTGTTTTTAGAATTGCACCACCAATTACCGTCACGGAAGAGCAGTTGGATGCTGCGTTGGGGATTATTGAGGAGGCGTTGAGGACAACCCCTGGCACGATGCCATTGTATGTGACAGATGAGGCAGCGGTAGATGGCCAATCTGTTGGGGAGTCAAACATCTAATTTTGGCACCATAGAGTTTCACATTGCGAGTGTTGAACTTTGTTTATTTTTTATCCATGTAAGGATACTGGGGAAAAGACGCCTAGTAAACGTCATCACCTGTCGAACAAACCAAAAGTCACTTGCAGGCAAAAATGAGAACAGATATTGTGATCAATGACAAGATTTTGACATTTGTAAGCTATAGACAAATCGGGTTGATAAAGATAGTATATACAGAAAAGAATCCACCAGCTCAGCTAGCACAGCACGTAACCAAAAACCACGTCTGTCATCTTCCAATCATTCAGAGAGCCATCAGGGCCATTCGTTTAATCTTCTGAGAGAAGAATTTATGGGCAGCTGACGGTGATCTGGGCGTTACCAGTGGAGAAGTAACCCTCAGTGGCAACAATCTGGTAGTAGTGCTGACCAAGGTTCATGCCCTTGCTGGCCCAGGCGTCAAAGTGAGTCTTCATGTTGACGGAGCCGGAAGAGCGCTTGTTCTGACGAACAGACCAATACTGCTGAAAGGTCCTGGTGCCATCAATGGAAGGCTGGTTGGTACGGGTCGACTGAGCAATCTTGTAAGAAGATCCATCAGAGGTGACGGTACCCTTGTTCTGGGACTGGGAAGAGGGGTCGTAGGTGCCGAAGTTCTCAACGACATAGTACTCGACAAGGGGGTTGCGGGTCCAGCCGTAGATGGCAAGGTAGGAGTTGCCATTGTAGTTGTAGGTACCAGAGTAGGTGATGGTACTGTATCGATGTTAGTGTCTGTAGTATATCAGAGTTGAGTGAGGCAGTGTCCTTACCGGGCAGTTCCTGGGTTCCATCCCTTTCCACCGACGAGGTTGCCACCGCTTCCCCAGCTTACGCTGTAGCTACCACCGGCACCGTTGGTGTAGGTAGCGCGGGCACCGCCGTCAGACCACCAAGACCAGAAGCAGCCGTTGTGGGTACCCTCGCCGTTGGGGGTGTTCTGGCGGGCAACGAGAGACACATCAGTGGCGGGGGCGGCAAGAGCGCCGGTAGCCGCAACAGCAGCAGTGATGATGGAGGTGAAAGAAACCATTTTGATGGTGTTGTTGTTAAGTGAATGAGGCGAAGGGAAGTGGTAGTTGTGGTGATGGTTGGTGAGGATAGTATGCCTTGGAGACGACTCAGGATGGCTTTATACTCGCCCTCCCCTGGTATGTGAGTGGAAACAAGACCGGATGTTGTGCACAGCCAAGACAAACATCCTCGTCATGGTAGCGGTGTTTCCATCTGCTAGAGTAATATCGGCTAGGATGTAGATCGAGAAGCAGGCAGGGCGGAAAGTAGGCAGCAATCTGTTTGACTTGGCTTTTTCGTAAAGAAAGCGCTCAGGAGGAGCTGGTGGGAGCCAATGGAAGAAGAGAGGTAACGAAAAGTTTCGTATTTTGAGAAAAATCAGCCATGGTGGTTGGCTACAGAGATGAAACGGTATGGGTGGGGCAAGGCTGTGAAGTCATTTACTTAGAGGCCGCAATCTGCTACGTCCGGACATGTGGCTCCCAAAAGGAATCGCGCTACAGCAGCGGCGGAGACTACCCTCTGCACTCAAGCCTCCCACTGTTCCGCATGCATGTGCCAAGCTTTCCACTTTTAATCTTTGCCCACGGTTAAACAATCGCTTGGCAGGAGTCGCGAAGCCAACAGCCGTGAGCTTGTTTAATCAAACTGAAGCCATGGAACTCGTGTGGCGCTTGGGCGTGGCGAAAACGATGCGTAGAGCTGACCAGTCGTTCCTGATTCCGGGTCTATTATTGAACATGGCGTACAGGTAGAAAGGGCGCTGTGTAACGGGGTGTATCTTGGTGCCCAGACAGTGGAAGCGTAGTTGCTGATAAGAAGGGGCTAAGATCTGCGACGAAGGCGTCCAACTCTGATGAAAACCGCAAATTTGCCGGACCCACGTGTCATGCGCTCTGGCTTCTCTTCGTAAAAACGCATTTGTTCTAGACCAGAAGGCTAGCAAAGGAAACATTCATCCTTCCAAAAAAAACATTCCGGGTGACGGGATACTTACTCCACCGTTGACGATGGAAGTCTCCACGCCGCGCCGAGCCAGGTGGGGGCCCGGGTTTCATCAACATTGCTGCCACGACCTGGCAAACGTCACGCAACAGCCGCACATCCGAGAAATGCCTGTTTCCTTCACCAGACCCATTGGCAATATAGCCAGGGTGTATGTAAATGATTTTCTTCGTTGTTGTGCGTTGGCGCATGAAGCCATGACAACATACGCATATCAGGTCATGCACATTACATTTCCTTCTGCCGGCTAGACAAGTTACACTAGCCTTATAGGCATGCCGCTTGCCGACATAATACGGAGAATTATATACGCCTGCATCATGCTAGTGATCTGGGGAGCTTTAGCCCCACGAATCACCATTTAACCACAGGTATTATGCAAACCAACTTTCCAAATCGCCTTTACTAGCCTTTTACTAGTACAATAGGCGCCTGCACCCCGGATTTGAGGGGTACATATGCATGGAATTACCTGCTCGAGTGCCGAGTGTCTTGGTACTGCACAAGATGTCTTGTCCAGGCTTGTCCCGGTGGAAGAAGTGGTATTGTGTGGAGCTTGATTCAACCGTTGTTTTATGAAGGATAAGGTCGTGTACGAAGGACTGTGCGGAGAATGAAACAACATCTCGAAAGGCTCGGAATAGGCTCAGAATATACGCAGACCTGATATTGCCTAGTATCGAGGTTTCGCCGTACGCCTAAAGTCCCCTTTACGATGCAGCAAGCAATATCAAGGTTTTCGCATGTCGTTGTCGTAATCAGCCGGCTGGGTCGGGTCCAGCAAGCAGCCGTACAGCTCTACACAATGCGTTGGAAATATCGATGACGAGTTGCATTTTGCGAAAACTCCACCCAGTGCTGTATCTGTCTTGTTGACGTTGTGCAGCTACTGTAGAGACTTGCGGAGTTGAGACGTCAGTCTCGTCTGTCTGCAAAGTATGACTTGAACGAGTTGTATTTGTTTGCCGTATAGCACATCAGACTATTTTTCTCAGAAAAGAACGGCAACCCACAGCCAACCTACCGGAATCGGGTATCAAAAAATGACGTTGCAGCCAGAGTGTCCACAAAGTATATTGGTTCAACTCCATCCCTACTGTAGAATCCTCAACAACGTCAAACTCCTATCAAGAAATTTACGGAGACACTAAACACAACAGTAACAGCGGGAGAGGAAGTCCCGTTAACGAGAATAAAAAATGGTGTCTTTCAAACCAAGACATGTTGCTCACTGACGGCAGTGTTTGAACACTTGTCTAAACATTGTCTCACCACAACCTCACGATACATAACCACACTCCTCAGATACATTGTGAGAAAACTTCATAAGACAGAGAGATTATATACACAGATAGAACGTATACACACAGAATGCTCACACAATGCGATTCTCACGACCATATATACGATTATCTCCGACCACCATCCTAGAATCCTTCAAACTACCACTAACAACACGACCAACAACCCTACACACATATACCCAACCGTTTAACCACCAGATTCCAGCACTTCTCAAGAAAAGCGTAGAACTCTCCAACTTCAACATGTGCCAATACAACTTTGTTCACTACGCCGCCTGCAATCACACTGTCCCGGACAAAGACGTCCCGCTCGCCCGATGCAAGTCCAAGATTCGGACTCTGTGGCAGAAAGCATGCGACCAGTCTGAGACGGAGGTGATTGCGGAACCTGGGCTGTGTGAGGAGTGCGTAGACAAGCTGGAGGGAAAGTTGCTGAAGCTTGAGAAGCTTCAGAACAAGGAGTTGCGTGCGGAGGAGAAGGCGAAGAAGAGGCAGGGATGAGCTGGGATGGGGACAGGCTGCGCTGAATGTGGCGAGCTTGGATAGAGGGGAAAGGTAAGATTGATGAGTGTAGCTCGGGGATATGGAATACGGAGTTCAGGTATACAGGTTGTGTTGGACTTTTGTTCAATTAGACATGGGATGGGATTTCATCCGGGAACCACGATAGACAGATCTGTACTGGTTTATTGATTCACTCATAAAGCATGTACAGAGATAGAAATAGACCATCGCTCAAGATGAAGGAATAAAATATTCATTGATACAAAGCGAGGGTATATAGCATTGCATGCTGTGATGCTTTCCAAAAGAAGCAGAAAACAAAAAAAAATGTAGTATCCAACTCCACGCTAACAATAGGTCATGATTCCAGTCATAAACATCGTGAGTCCATGTTTCTCTTTCAACTTACCAAATGAAAAAAAAAAGAAACTGGAGAATGGCAAAAGAAAAAAAAAGGCAGTCATTCCCGTTCTAAAAAAAAATTCCCCCATTCTTCCAACACGCATGGAAACTAATGCACAGGAATCTTTCTTGCTCTAGCAGCCTGCAAAAAGGCACCATAACTCCAAGTCAAATGCTGAGCACCACGCATGTATCCAGTCACACGGTCAAACTGCTCACTCATGCTACCCTCGGCATCCACATGCGCCTTGACGACATGCAAAAACTCGTCGCCGGTGCTATGGAGGCGCTCGATGACAGAGTGGAAGAGGGCGTCTGTGGGGCCGAAAGAGCCAACGTCGACATCTAGAGAGGAGCTACCGAGGAGAGACTCGTAAAAGGGAAGACCAACATCAGTAATAGTCAAGTTGCCAGTGGCAACAATGTGCGAGGCGGTGCGGTACAGAATCTCGGCAGCGGAAGAGGTGCACAGGAACCATGGGTTTCCACCACGGTTCGAGTTTCCATAGCCGTCGTATACATCTTCAGGATAACGGCCGAGGCCCGTTCCCTGGAATGTGAACTCGTCTACGTTGTCATCATCGTCATCCTGGTCAGAAGGGTTGCTGTTGATGGGGAAACGGTCGCGCTGGTCCCGAGTCAAAGCAAGCAGAGACACAAGAATCTCGTCAGACCACGGAGGATACACGACATCGTCTTCCGATCCGCTCTTAGGAAGGGCGTGCAAAGAGCCGAGAAGCAGTCCGCAGTCGAGGCCGCTCCTCTTGCTCCACAGCGTCTCAACAAGATGTCCTTTTTGCGCGTTCCAGAATTTGCCCAATAGGTTCTCAATGTAGCCAGCTTGCTTTTGGTACCAATCCGCCGCGCCGTTGTCTCCAAAGATTCTGGCAAGGTGACTGCCCTCCTTCAGACTCCTCGCACTAACCATGAGGGTGAAGAAGTGCAGGCCCTCGACCTCCTCCCAGAGATCGAATCCCGACTGATTCCAGAAATGGCTGACATACTCGAGATCTGCCTTGATGATGCTACGAGGGGGCATTTCAGCGGTGTAGAATGAACTAAAAAAGTCTTCGGAGTCGGGGGAGCTCCATAGCGAGGGATGCGATGCGTTGTACTCGCGGAGATAATGCATGAGCGTCAGTGCGCGAAGGGCCGGCCCATCGCGCTGAGGTCGTCCCCACGAGCCGGTGAACGGCTTGCCATCGACTTGGAACTTGGGTTCACCGAGTCCGGAAAGGTCGTCAAATGTGCCAGACGGGTTTGAAGTGCGCTGAATGTCACCTTGGAGGGAGGTGTAGGCGTCTAGGATGGTGGATAGAGAAGCCGCGCGTGAGGATGAAGTATCGTCGGCATAGATGTTGACGAGGGTATCCATGGTGATAGCAGCGTCACGGACCCCTGTGACAAGATTAGTACCAAATGATTGCGGGATGACGTCTTAGAGAGACTCACATTGGAACCAGTAGTCTGGACCGTCTTGACTGGGGCTGGCGATGACGGTGCCTTCAGCCACACCTTTTCCTTGGACATTGCTACCTCCAGGCGCAACGTTGGCAAGCAGTTTGTCCAGTGCTATGCGCTCTTCATGCTTTATCCAGGCATCAAGCGTGTCTTGAAGCGGTTGCTGTTGCTGCACACGGCTGGAAGCAGAAAAAGTGGTGAGGGAAGGAAGACGAGGTATTGATAATGTGTAGGCATGGTGGACGAAGCCTGTGAGGAGGAACACGCGAGGTAGCATGATGAGCGCCGGGAGTGACCACCAGGGTGTGGATGGGTGGATGGCTGGCTTGAGACAAAAAAGAAGCCTAGGTCTACTGGCAGCTCATATGGGAGCGTTCAGAGTCGACGATGACGAGGAAGAGAAGCGCGATGTCACGAAGACTAGGCGGTAGCACGCGAAGTCGGGCATAAAGAATCGTCGAAGCCCGTAGGCCATCGACGCCTTCCGTGCGCGCGCCATGCCCCGGGCCGACGACTATGACTGTGTGGATGATGATTGCGGGCCCTCGTGCCAGTGTTAGCGGACAGCGTGGACGAGTAGGAGGCGGTGGACGAGGTCGCGCGGACAGTTGGTCGTCCCGATCCAGCTGGTGGATGATGGTGAAAGGACCACGCGAGTCACGGACAGCAACGTCACGCGACCCGCCCTCGTGGATCCGGGGTAGGCGGTAGGCAATGCAAGGCACTCAAAGGCTCGGCCTACGACACACCAGGGCCATGACAGCGCACCACAAAGCAATTATGCCCACGGGCCGAGGCATCGAGAAACGACGCTGTCTTTTGCACCTGAAAGGAGGAATGCGCATAGCAAATAGCCTGGCTGCTAACAAGAACCCCATAGTGATAGCTCGTCCCCGAAATGTAGGTACACGCCAAGATGGCTCACCCCATGTCTGGCCCGCGAGCGGCTCTCGGGAATCAAGACGCAGGGCGTTTTGGCCGAAGGTAGTACTAGCGGTCACCGTACAGTACAGTACAGTACACACATCCCACGAGTACTCGTACCTAATACATAAGTACATACATGTGACAATATGCGACATGGCATACATATGTGCCGCAGGCTAGAACCTTCCCGGCATGCTCCGAGGTCCGGCTGTGTGAGGCCTGCAAGGCGTGAGGGGTACATGGTGTCGGCTACTTGCATGTAGCCGCCGCCCAATGAGCATCGGCTATTCTCAATACATGCCGTGAAGTCAACATCATGCCCGTGTGTATGCATGTACATTCACCTCAGACTGGTCCAGAGGCATCAAAACAGTCGACTCTGAACCTGTCTCTTGGGCATTGGCCCTGTATGCCATGACTGTTTGATCCGCTGAGTTGCCACATCTCACCTTGTCTGATCAGCCAGCCAATCATTCCATGCCGCGTACTTGAAGACGCACGTTCATCATCCACCCCCATTCACCATGCTCTTGCACAAAACGCACGCACTGCGCAGTAATCTGCGTATGCTGCCCAACTCCGGCTACCGGACATGCCAAGCCTCCCTTTCCACGACAGCTAGACGCACCAACTACGATGCTACAATCCAGAACCTCAAGATTGGCTCTCACACCCGCGTCATCTTCCAGGGATTCACGGGAAAACAGGCTACTGCCAATGCAAAAGAGTCGATAGAATGGGGGACAAATGTAGTCGGCGGCGTCAAGCCCAATGGCTCTGGCGAGCATCTGGGACTGCCTGTTCTGCCCTCTGTGAGGGCAGCAATGGAGCAGCTGAAGCCTGACGCAACGGGAATCTATGTTGCAGCCCACCAGGCTACTGCTGCAATTGAGGAAGCAATCGAAGCAGAGGTGCCCCTTATCGTCGCAGTGGCTGAGCACATACCATTGCATGATATTATGAGAGTGAGTCAACAGGCTCTGAACACCATGTCAGAGACACAGAGCTGACGCGGCAGTAAGATCCATTCCATGCTACAATCCCAGTCAAAATCACGGCTTGTAGGTGCCAATGCCCCGGGAATCATTTCAGCCGTTGGGAAATGTAGGATCGGTTTCCAGCCACTACCAACATTTTCACCTGGTCACATTGGTGTCGTGGCAAAATCTGGCACCCTTTCATATGAGACTGTAGCATCCCTGACAAGAGCCGGACTCGGACAGAGTTTGTGTATTGCAGTCGGTGGAGACGTGATTGCAGGTACAAACTTTGTAGATGCTCTCAAAGTCTTTGAGAATGATGAGGACACCGAGGCTATCATTATCGTAGGTGAACTCGGTGGTACAACCGAGGAAGAGGCAGCGGATTGGATCAGAGATTACAGAAAGCGCGTAAAAGATCCCAAGCCCATTGCTGCTGTCATTGGAGGGTTCCAGGCACCACATGGCAAGATCATGGGTCATGCTGGGGCTTGGGTTGGCCTTGGAGAAGGTACTGCAGAGGTAAAATACAAGGCACTGGAGAGTGCTGGGGTGACTATGGTTGATCATCCTGCGAAATTTGGTGGAGTGATGAAGAATATTCTTGCACAGTCTGGTCGTAATGTCGGGAAGATTGTAGGTTTGCATTTGTCAAAGTACCCTCCATTATGTTCTGACTTGTTAATAGGAACAATCAGCAGCCCAGCAACGCCGCTCATATCATACATCTCCAAAGCAGCGGCCTATCACACACTCTTCTAAAACTGATGCTTCGTTTATACAAAAACGTTCGCTCCATCTCTCAAAAGAACAATCCACAGCCCTCCTCGAATCCTTCAATATCAACCTTACCATACCCCCCGAAGGTTCCCCATCAACCCACTACCTAGGCATCTCTCCTGATCGCTCCTCCCGCTCTCCCTCCATCATCGCCGCCCCAACAGCCAACCCATCCAAACTCACCCACCGCATCCGCCGTTTCCCCTTTGACTACCGCACCGGGCCCACTCCATCTGCCATTGCTGCCGCAACAGCCCACATGCAACTCTCCGCCCTACCCCCAAAATCCAAATCCCAACTCGTCCAAACCATCCACAACCTATGGAACCTCTACACCTCCAAAGAAGCCATAGACGCCCACATCAAAATCGCCCTATCCGTCGAATCCGACAATCTCCTCCTCTACGACCCCTACCTCTTCTTCGACGACGCAGCTTTCAAGTCCGGAAAACGCCAGTCCGACCTCCACGCTCTACGCGATCAGACAGCAATAAGCGCTGCAGACCGCGAGGCAGAAGAAGCAGGAATCGTCTACATTCCTCTTGAACCACCCACCACCAGCACGTCTACAAGTAGTAGTCCCGACTCAAGTCGTAGAAATCTCGTCGGCACCCTAGTCAACGGCGCAGGCCTCGCCCTCAACACGCTCGATACCCTCGCCTTACGCCTCGCCCCTGCCACATCCGCTGCCAATTTCCTCGATACAGGCGGCAAAGCCACGGCCGCGACCATCAAGACGAGTTTCAAGCTTCTCCTGGCCGATCCCCGCGTCAGCGTTGTTTTCGTGAATATCTTTGGCGGGTTGACCCTCTGCGATATGATTGCCGAGGGCATCCTCATGGCGTTTCGGGATGTAGGCGTTGAGAAACCCGTCGTGGTACGGTTGAGGGGCACGAATGAGCAGAAGGGGCAACGAGTGCTGGAGGAGGCGAGGCTGCCGATTTATGTTTTTGATGATTATGAGGAGGCGGTGGGGAAAGTGGGGGAGTTGGTTGCGAAGGCTGTTGTGAATGCGTAGAGAGATGAGAAAAAGAGAGGGAGGAGGGGAAAGATGATGATTAAAATGATTAGATTCGTCGCAGTCACACACACACACACATATATACTCGCTCTCTCTCTCTCTCTTACGTCCCGTTTTCCCCATCAGTCCCATTGCGAATAAAACATTTGTGCCGCTTGCGTTCGGAATTTCCCCTTTCCTTCCACGTCCACCGCCTTGGCCCTGTTTCTACGCAAAAAAAAAGCAGTGGGGGGAGGATGACAACATACGTAACAAAAAAACACCAAATCACAAAAATCCTCTCTCGCATACGCCATTGGAAGCTCAAAAAAAGTGTGTAGTACATCGGAGTATGAAAAAAAGATAAGAGGTATATCTCCAAGGCTGGAAGAAAGGTCGGGGGAAGAAGAGGGAGAGGAGGGGGGACATTCCAAACGATGGATCCAAAAAACCAAAGTAACCCAAAACATATCGCAGGAATTCGTTTGACAAGTAAGTTGATAAAAAAGGAAGATGGCCGGAGGGAATATAACAATGACACTATACAAAGTATTGGAATGCGGTTCTGTCAAAAAGTCAGTTATGTGCGCTCAACTGGGTTGGTTCCAAGGGTGGACAAAAAAAACTTACCCAATCGCTGCCATGACTCCTAAACCAACAAGTGCCCTCCGTGTCACCTTTTCCTTTGTCATCTTTTGTTCGGTTGTGTAAGCCTTTTTGGCGAGCTTGTTGAGGCGCTCATCGGCCAAATCTTCCTCGTCCAGCACCTCTTCGATTCCGCGCTTTGACGACCGCGTGACCGATGGCGAGCCGCCCTCAAGTTTTTGTGCTTCAGCAACCATGCGCTTAGCCTCTTCAATCATAGCCGTTGGGTCTTCCGGCTCGGGGAGTGCGGCGTGGTCGTGTGGCACATCGACCGTGACGCTAGTGCTGGTCTTTTCCGTGTCGCCATTTGTCTCAACGGTTTGCTTTACTTCAATGTGAACTGTGCCCTCCTGGACCTCAAGCTCCGGCTCTGGCTTCTTTTCAGCATCCAGCGCCGCCTTGACTTCTTGCTCCACCTCCTTCACCTCGCCCTCGATCGATGACGCAATCGTCTCAGCAGGCGCAATGCGCCTGGCGATGCTGTTTTGAAGCGCAGTTGACGGGGTGACGGCCTCAATAGGCCTAAACATATCATCTGCATGGGTGGCATCTGGCTTCATAGCGCTTCTTGTCGACCGGCCCTTTCGCGGGGTCGCGTACTTGCGGCCTGGTGTCATGGCCTTGCTGGGTGAGACTGATCGGGCCGAGCGCGCGCGAGTTTGGCGAAAGCCAAATGTAGGAAGAGTGGCGGGCTGGGCGTTTGCAACATCGAATCTGGGAGGCATTTGGATGGCGGCGTTTGATTTATCCTTGCCGCCCTTTTCGATAGGCGCGGGGTCGAGGAGCGCCTCTATCCAGTGACGCATCGAGTATTCCTCGGACAAGGCCAGAGCTAAGCGAATTGTGTCAGATGTCCATCATTTGCAGAGTGAGGGATTTTTTTTATATTCAAAGAAGACACTTACCCTCCTCTGGCGCAATCCAAACGCTTCCGGCTACCTCCTCGTCGCCGGCTGAAGGGAATGTCTTCTGGTACTTGCGTTCGAGATCCTCTTCCTGGAGCGAAGCCCAGGGGAACGCAGCCTTGAACATTCCCGTCGCACTGATGTAACCGTCGCTGCTGCGTCGCTGTTTGTCGCGTTAGTCGTCGGCTGCGCTCGTAGCAATGCGCTTGCTCATTGTTTTGCATGGCGTACCATCAAGAAATATGACTCTGGGAAAGCGGACATGCGGTTTCGCGAAAAGATGCCAGATCCCGTGAGGTCTTTTGGCAGCGGAACCCTGAGGTGCGCGTAGTCGAAAGTGCCCATGTTTTCAGGCTTTGTCGCGTTGGCAATACCCGAGACGCCAGCCTTGACACCCAAGTTTGTTTGTCCCAGGCGACGTCGTTCAATGAGAATCTCGACTGGGCGATCTTGTCAGTCGCGTTGCTAGATGGAGGAGATGAGAGGCGACGCGATGCGCGACGTGTACGTACTAGACGTCGAGTCGGTGGGCTCGAGGAGCGGGTTCTTCCTTTCGGGGAGGACGCGATCAACAACCATTTTGGCGACGTCTGAGGGGGTTGTCGTGGAAGAGGATATTACAATGGATGTATGGGAGGTGCGGCGCGCAGCGCGTGGGGTGTCGCGAAAAGATGGCGAGAAATAAGAGTGCGTGTTGCGCGTGCGATCGACGTGATGATGAAAGAGTGCGTGGTTGCGACAGAGGCGAATACTTAGACAGACAAGCACAAGCAGGAGCAATGGGGATGCTATCCCTGTGCACTAGCGCCGCCCACGCCCAGTCCAGCCACCCCCGGGCAATGTCGTCGCGCTCATCAGACTTTGGCAGCGGCCTTATTATTACGTCCTTTGGGAGCGCTTCTTCTAGAGTATTACTATATTAGTGCTGCTGCCGATTGGCCCTGAAGACACTTCTTCTGCCCATTGCAGGCCCGATGAAGCGTCGTGCAGATTGCAGGCGCTGCTTTGAGAAGAGGGCCACTAGATCACGCGTTCGCCCGGTCGTGACGCGCTATGTACATATCCATACACAAACACACACAAATATGCCGACCAACAATGAAGCTACTTACACTTACATACACTGGCATGCTCCCTTTGTCTGCCCCAGGCCGCCAGCACTGCGCCGCCCAACAGTAGCGTGCCGTCCACACCCAAGCATTACGGCGCCTCGCACGGTATCACATCTGCCGCCCTTGCTCTCCAGATATAGGCATGGCAGCATCTAAGTACCTACTTAGGTAGTACTTATACATGTCAATGCATCTGGGCAGCCATCCATGGACCCAGCAATGTCAGCATTCAACAGGCCACTGCTCTGTCCCAGCATCAGCCCGGTATCGGTCGGCAAAGCTGAAGCAAAGAGCAGCAATGCGAAGCAGCCATGAACATAAGCAGTCATCTGAAGCGAGCGATCCCCAGGGCCTGCAGGGCATAATCCCCATCGCATCCATATAATATCTCCGAATTGGTAGCCAGAGACTGTCTGCGACAGACTGCGCTAAACACGTCACCCTGGCGCCCTGGCGTCGACGGGCCAGAGGCCATTGGAAGCGTCTCGACAGCAGCAGCGGCCTGAAGGCCTGGTGTTGCTTTTTCTCGTCTGTGAGAACGCGCGGGGTCGGTCCCTGCACCGCTGTGAGACGTCTTCGTCCTCAGCACACTCGTCGCCTCTTCTCTCGCTGGCCCCCTAGAGGACTGTGCATGATGCACTCGTGTCACAGCACGAGTCTGGATGGCATGCGACGTATCAAAAGGATCCACTGCTCACCCAGCGACGCGGCAGGCCCCGCCAGGAACCAGGCGCCTTAGCCGCTTTGAGCTGCTGGAGCGGTGAAAGTGCCCCGCTAACCTCGAGGCTCAACATGAGGCCGCGCCTACTTGGGCCCCTCATTCCTCTAATTGACCCTGAACTTCTCCACAACATTCTCTCGCCGCCTGTTGCTAGCCACACACAACCACCCATCCCTCTCCATCCAACCACACACGCCATGGCCGACCACGCAGACGACCTCCACGCCGAGCAGACCGAGGGCTTCAAGGTCGGAGAGAAGAAGACAATCGACGAGTACCAGAAGCTAGGTACGTGGCACCCCCATCGCGCGGCTAGCCCATACAAACAGCCCAACAACACCTGCTGACCTTGGACCGCCACAGACCAGAACGATGAGTCTCTGCAAAAGTGGAAGGCGTCCCTTGGACTTGGCCAGGGCAAGGACATCTCCGACCCCAACGACCCCCGCAAGTGTATCATCCTCTCCCTTGGTCTCGAGGTAGAGGGCCGCGACGACATCATCATCGACCTGCGTGCTCCTGGTGCGCTCGAGCAGCTCGAGAAGAAGCCCTTTACCATCAAGGAGGGTGCGAGTTTCCGCATGAAGGCACAGTTCAAGGTCCAGCACGAGATTCTGGCAGGTCTCAAGTACCTCCAGAAGGTGACCCGCATGGGTGCTAGCGCCAAGCTGCAGGAGATGATGGTACCTATCCTCACCAGGCTCGTGCATCTATACATACGCTGACCGTCACAACAGGGCTCATACGGCCCCAATACTGAGGAGAAGCCCTTTTACGAGAAGAAGTGTACGTGTTCCATTTCGACAAACACTGCCACGTCACTCTGCTAACTCTTGCTTTAGTCGAGCCCGAAACTGCTCCCTCTGGCATGCTTGGTCGCGGCCACTACACAGCCATCTCCAAGTTCGTCGACGACGACAACCAGGTCCACCTGCAGTTCAAGTGGTCTTTCGACATCAAGAAGGACTGGTCATAGGCAATCATCCAAGTCCGCGTGTTGGAAAAGGGTTGTATTGTCGCACGGCGCAACACGGCAGTCTCTTTTAGTTGGAAGCGGTGGATATCCAGAGTGCTTGAACTCCCACGAAGTAACGAAGCGACGGCTGACGGTCGACCGTTTGGGCGGATACACCAATCCGACCAGATATCGATCCTATAGCTTTGGAAGAATCAAAATTTTCAGGACCTTTTACATCTCGTTCCCTCCTTGGCTCGAGTGTGCTTGATGTTTCTCGAGCTCGTCGAAGTGAAACCATCTTCCTGCAATCCTCTTCGCCTTGACAGTCCGACCCGCCCATGCCCGCCCACTGCTTCCAGAACCAAATCTCCGTGCTGAAACATTGAGAATGGATACTTCTTGCTCCCACGGATCCCCCATGATAGCTTCGCGTCGGGTCTCGTGCTCTGTATCCATTTCAACATCCTCTTCGGCAGGGGCCGCAGAAGTACCATAGTTTCCTTGACACTCGACTATATGGAGTTGGACGCCAGTATTCAGTGCAACATCAGCCGCTGTAGCAAAGCATCGTGACAATCCCTGGGCGGAGAAAGATGGCGTTTGTGCGTGCAGCGCGAGTGGATTTACCAACACTACCCTTTCTTTTGATTTAGTCTCAGCTATGGGTTCAGCCGCAGTGTGGCCATATGCAGTCAAGTAGGCGAGCAGTGCCTGTACAGATGGGCAGAAAGCAAGTCTGACGTGTCGGCTCGTGAATAAGTTGTGCAGCGAAGGCGCAAGCAGTCGCTCTAGATCGTCTGTGGCTGGATCGCCGCGACTCTGGTGCAATGAAGCAGCAAGGTACTCTAAGAAAGATTCCTGACTGGAACATATGATCAACAAGGTCGGGCTTGTGCTGGACTGGGTAGTAAGGACATAGCGGAGGAACTCAAGCAGTGTTAGCGGGTGGAGTACCGTCGGCGTCGGCGACATGGCAGATGAAGTGTCGAATAAGTTACGGCTGCCATGTGCCCGTTGGAGCGCGATGTCGATGTCTGCTGCTGCTGCTGCTGTTGTGTGGCGCCGAGTGCTCTAGGTGTACGTATTACCAGGCAGGTCACCAAAAGCCATGGACGGTCAGCACGGGCTGCAAGTGCCAATCGGCGGCTGTACCCGCTCCCCGATTCACCCCCCACCACCGTTGTTGTCCATGGCTCCAACTGCCGCAGCGCATGCACGCTGCCACGGATCATCACAACCTCGACGCCCAGAGCCTTTGCTGCCCATACCTTACCTGACTCTGCATAGCCGGCCTCCCGTCTGTCGGCAGAGACGAATCGAGTCGTGGGCTCCCGGAAGCAAAGCACTTCTCCCCGGGCCTAAGTTGCTGTCATGGAGTCCATCAGTCGCATATCGAGCTTGTTGGAGACAGGTATGGCGCCTTTCTCAATTTTCTCCTCTTACACATCCATCGCATCTCTTGTGCCTTTGCGATTTGTACTCGACGGGTCTTGAACATGTAATCGCCTCGCTCGTCCACTATGCATCCATCCAGCTTTGCTCACTGGTCTCTTTCTACAGCCCGCGACCTTACCCTCGAAGCTGCCCGCGATGCCAGCAATGTCCGCCGAGCGCCTACAAGAGAGCTGCCCTCGAGCCAGCTTAAGAAGCTTCTCGACAGCCGATCCGAGCGCGATGTCTTGGAGGGGCTCCGGAGAGTGATCACTGTATGCCAACCCCACCATAAATTCGGGCCATCTCAGCAGACATGGCACGCGTTGGGACGTGTAGTAACTGACTACAGTCCCTCTAGATGTCCTATCGGCAACCTCCTGCGCAAACACTGCCTTTCTTCTCCCACGTAATCAAGAACGTCGCCTCGCCCTCGCTTCAAGTTAAGAAGCTCGTTTACATATACCTCCTCCAGCATGCCGAGCACGAGCCGGATACCGCTCTCCTTTCAATCAATACCATTCAAAAGTCGCTTACGGATACGAATCCCCAATTGCGCGCATTAGCGCTACGAGTCATGTCGAGCATACGGGTCCCCGTAATTAGCCAGATTGTGAGTCTGGGAATCAAGCGCGGTACTGGAGATATGTCGCCGTACGTAAGGAGGGCAGCGGCTTTGGCGATACCGAAATGTTACAGGCTCGATCCCAACACCGAACCCCAGCTGCTGGAGCACCTGTCGACATTACTGGGAGACAAACAGTACTTTGTGACCGGAGCCGCTGTAGCATCGTTCCTAGAGCTATGTCCGGATCGCTTAGACCTCATACACCCGCATTACCGCGCCTTGGTACGAAAGCTAGTCGACATGGACGAATGGGGACAGTTGGCTACACTGCGATTGATGATGGTCTATGCACGTAAATGCTTTCCTAGAAGGACGAAAAAAGTCAAGAAGGTGGTTGGCGCAAAGACGAACAGCAAACCTTCGCAGTCCACAAAAGGATTTTATGATGATTCTGAGAGCGAATCTGAACAGGACGAGCAAGAGCAGGACATGGAGGAAATTGTTGTACTGGATCCTGACCTCGAATTGTTGCTAAAAGGCTGCCAGTCGCTGCTCCAATCCCGAAACGCTGCCGTGGTGATAGCGGTAGCCCAGACTTATCTGTATCTCGGTACACCCGAGTACCTGACCCAAGCCATCGGGCCTTTGATCTCCCTGCTGCGATCTGCTGCCGACATCCAGCATGTGGCGTTGTATAACATTGTACAGGTCTGCTTGGCACATCCTGAGCCATTTGTAAAGTACTACACACACTTCTTGGTACGATCAACAGATGCGCCGCACATATGGCAGCTGAAGCTCGAGCTGCTCACTCTGATATTTCCTTATGCCCATATGCGATTGCAAAGCTTAATACTTGCTGAGCTCAGCCATTTTTCACATTCTGGCAGTTTGGACCCAGCGCTAGTCAAGGAGTCTGTCCGCGCAATTGGACGCTGCTCGCAAAGCCCTGCGACCAGCCCTCAAACCTCGGCCAGGTGTCTTAAACTACTGCTAAAACACATTGGATCTGCCGATGCCCATTTGGTGGCGGAGTCGCTGGAAGTCATCCGACACTTGATTCAACGAGACCCAAATGCCCATCGTACTACTGTTGTCCGGTTAGCAAAGCATTTGGATGCAGCCACCAGTCCCCAAGCTCGCGCCAGCATCATTTGGCTAGTTGGCGAATTCGCGGGCCTGGATCCGGAGAACAATATTGCTGCGGATGTCCTCCGTATTCTTGTCAAAGGCTTTGCAGATGAGGCTGAGCCAGCCAAGCTTCAGATTGTGCTGTTGGCAGCCAAGGTCTACGTGCATCATTTGACAGCCAATCCGCCCCCGGAGCCCAAAGTGGAGCAACCCAAACTGAGCTCGTCCCTAATCGACGAATTTCAAGAAGAACAAGGAGGGTTCAGAGACGAGCATCTTGCTGCACTCGCCCACAACAACGAGCCTCAAGAGGAGGAGAAGCCACATATTATTGAGGCACTGTACAACTACGTTCTCTTGTTGGTAAGATACGATACTTCGTATGATCTTCGCGACCGTGCTCGGGTTTACAAAGCACTACTGGCGACACCCACCTCGACACAGTTGGCTTCGCTGCTGCTTTTGGCACCCAAGCCAGTGCCGCATATTCCCAGCCCAAGTGAAACACGAAAAGGCTACGTGCTGGGAAGTGCCAGTCTAGTAGTTGGTGATGAAGGCGGTGTTGGAGGACTCAAAGGATACGAAGACCTGCCGCGCTGGGTCAAGGAAGGAAATGAGCCAAATCCCGCGCTCCGAGACGAGGCCGCATCTTCATCTTCTTCAAATTATGTGTCGGTGTATGAAACTGCAAAGAACATGTCGGCAGCCGAGAGGCTGGACGCAGCGGCGGGCAGTAGCGGTAGGATGACCGCAGACAACACGATGAGCCCACGAGGCTTGAATGGGATTGGTGGAGACGGAGGTTTCGGCGGAGTGCCCAAAGCGCCGCTCAAGGAGAAGACACTCGACGACTGGCTGGCGGAAGAAGAAGGAGAAGATGACGATGAGGAGGAAACCGAGACGGAGAGTGAAGAAGAGACAGACGAAGAGGAAGAAGAGAGTGAGGAGGAGAGCGAATATGAGACGGACAGTGAGGACGAGGAGACTGACGATGAGCGAGGTAATCTCATCAAGCAGTAGTAGTCCCTTTGAAAAGAGAGCGAGCAAGACGTGATTAAAGTTTCTTCATCGACATGATCATGGATCACACTTCTCGTTGCGTAGCCATTTCAACCCCAAAGAGAAGAACCAAAAGAACGAAAGAAGTTGACTAGTAAAAGCCCACCTCAAAGCCTCGCCATGTTCCCCCTCTTCCGCATACTCTTCGTCTTAGTCTCTCCCCCTTGCCCCTCCCCTCCTCCCACCCCTTCACCCTCCTCAACAACCGCACTCGTATCCTCCCATAGCCCCTTGGCCACAACATCCACAAGCCCCAAAACCCTATTCTGCACCGTCGCTCCATCCCGGCGATTCTTACCCTCCCGCCTACTCGCACTAATCCTCTCTGCAAACCGCCACAACGGGCCCTCCGCAATGATACTCGCTGTTCCATCCGTTTTCCGCTGCGGCACCCACTCATCCGCCAAGCGTATCCCTGCCGCATTCTTGTTTTTCTTCGCGGACCCCTCGCCGTTGCGCGGGCGGGACACGACAATCATGCCTTCCTCTTGGAACCGCGTGTAGGCGTTTTTCAGCGTTTCCTTGTTTACGGCTTCGAAGTAGGAGAGGTCGCCTTGGTGGTAGAGGGTTTTGCCGAGGAGTTGGGCGTGGTCTTGGGTTTTCTTTTGGTCGAGCCATTTTGGCGACTGAGGTGTTGTTGGTGGTGATGAAGAGGAGGAGGAGGAGGAAGATGAGGAGGATAGAGGGGGTGTAAGCATCATTAGGCTTATTGCGCCGAGCCAGGCGGCTTCGATAAAGGGCCAGATGAGGAAGCAGTAGAAGTCGTAGTTTTCGCGGCCTTGGGCGCGTTCGGTAGGGGAGAGCTGGATCCATTCGATTTTCGATTCGGTAGACGAGGAAGAGGGGGTTTCTGAAGAGGAAGGTTCTGGGGAAGAGCGAGTTAGGGTTATGACGTCGTCTTTTTCGAGGCCGAGGAGGGTTTTCGAGAGGTTGGTGTCGAGGCCTTCGGTTGGGAAAATGAATTCGCCGCGGAAGAGCTGGGAGAGGAAATGGACTTGGGCACGTAGATCGGTGTATGACATGCGTTGGTACTCGGGCCCGCCGCCTTGCTTGACGTGTGTGTATAGCGCTGCGCTGACGAGACTTTGCAAGATGAACAGATGAATGGTCATGTTGCGGTAGAAAGAGAGCTGGAATCGATCGACGGCGTAGAATGTGTCTTCTGGGAGATCGGGTACAAGACCGACAAGTCCTGGGCCGAGCACTTCAAGTGCACGGTCGACGACAACGCTGGTGGGGAGATTGCCAAAGTGTGCTACACGGCCGCCTTGGGCCCGTACTCGGTCGCTGAGCCATTCTACGCGTCGGATAAGTTCAGTTTTGCCGACACCGCGACCGCGAAGTGTGAGCAAGACGGTACCAACCAACGCCGTGGGCATGACTACTGAGACGTCGTTGATTTCCGATAGCACTTTGTACCCCAGCGTGCGGAGGATACGGAGTCGATCTTCTTTGGTATCGATTTGTTGGGGTAGTTTGGAGAAGCGATCGCGTTGTTGGGTGATGAATGACTTGAGAGACCAAGGCTCGTGGAAACGGACATCTACACGACCAAGCTTGAGGGAGAGGACGGAAGAAGCAGACAGGAAATCCATGAGGTTTTCTTTTGGCTTTGGCTGGCCGAGGAGCTCACTGATATACGAGCTGTTCACTGTTAGCATCCATGTTCGTCTTTGAAGAAATTCGCAGACATACTCAACCTCAATCACCTTGTCGTACTGTGTTGAAACCGGACAAATGATGGCATCGTCTACCCGGCCACTGGCAACACTATCCAGCATGTAACTCAAAATGCCAAACTTTGGTGGCAGAAGCTTGCCTGTCCGACTCCTGCCTCCTTCGACGAAGCACTCGAGGTTATAACCACATCGCAACAGAGTATCTATGTATGCCTGAACTAGCGTGATATACAGTTGGTCGTCTCCGAAGCTCCGTCGTATCCACATGGCGCCCGCATGTTGAAGAAATGAACCCACAACTGGGAAGTTTAGGTTGTCACCGGCTACAACGGTGGGCAGCGCAAGACCAAGCCTGTAGCAGATAATCTGTAGGGAAACGTAGTCGACATGGGAGCGATGGCAAGGCAGGAATATGATCGAGTGCTTGTCCTTGGCTGCTTTTTCAGCTACCGCGCGTAACCGCAGGACTTCCTCGCTCGAAACATGAACACCCTGGTGGTATGCCCTGGTGAGGAGCTGAGTTGCAAAGTAGTATGCACCTCTTATGAACGGCCTGCTCTCCATTTTGCATATCATCGAGTCTGTCCAGCCCTCGCTGACCTGCATGAGTGACTCTTCGATCTCGGCTCTCCTCTTAGACTTTCTGTCGTCATCATTTAGCAATCCTTGCTTGACCTCAACCTCAATTCTCTTGTCCGCCAGCTCACGTATTTTGGCGATGAGCATTGGGCTGCTCAGGACCCTTCCCTTCATATCTTCGCTGAAGCCCGAGTAAAACTCTGGCTGGCCGACGTGGTGATCAAAGGACCGCCATCCTGTTCCAGAGAAATGAAGCGATACTTCGCGTAAAAAGTCCAGAGGCGAGGAGCGGAAGCGCGCGAAGCTGTGTATGAGGCCACGATCCGGCGACTCATTGTAGCCGGCTGCGTGGAGATGTACATTATCGTCTGCAGTTATGCTGAGGTCGGGAGCTTGTTCGGGGGTAGAGGAGGGTGAAGCTGGAGGGTTCTGCGCCTCGCCTGAGCGGGTCATGGTGTCCGGAGGGCAGAAGGCTGCTGATGCGCCGGACGGAGATGCGTCTCGTCAGGGGGAGTTTGGGACCGACTGCGCTGATGACATGGGCAGGCGCGTTTTCAGTCGGGGTAAGGCTTGATCTGCTTGATCTTTGGGTCCGTGGGTTGTGAGAGGTGTAGTGTTATGACATTGTCAAATCAGGCGCGAGAGGCGTTGCCTGGCAAGAATGACGGCGCGACTGTTGAACTTGAGGTGGACCCACTTCCCCGGTCCATCCCTTGGGCCTCGGCTTGTGGGGAAGGCATAGCGGGCCTGCATCGCCTCCGATTCGCCAGCCATCGGACTGCTACGGATACTGGTATAAGTATTCGAACATTAGTGCAAATGTCATTGATTCGCATTTTCAGCGAATTACAAGTAACGCTCTTAATTATTGATGAAGTTGTATGGGTATTTCTTGACCGGAAACACCGTGTCGAAGAGGCTATAGCCAAGTCAAGATGCTTCAAAACACCTCCCAAAGACTGACTTTGCCATCCTTGGCCCCAGCAGCAACCCAATGCTTCAACTTTGTTTCGTTCTCGCGCTCCTGCCCACGGCTTTCGGCACGTGTTTCTGGCTCTGAATCTTCCACTGCTAGGTCTTCTGCTGTCAACATATTGGCAAATGCTACTGCGTAGACGCCTTCCTTGTGCCATTTGAGTACTGCGACTTCCTTGAGAGTTTTGCTACTATATATACGGACGCGAGCATCCCAGCCTCCAGTGACAAGGAGCCGGCCGTCAGAACGGACTCGGAGTGATTGTTGGCCAGCATGTTTGGTGTCTATGATTTTGTATGCAGGCTCTAACGTCACTACCGACTGGACCGGCGGTGGAGGCTTGATGCGGGGAAGTGGTGTAGAGGACGACGAGAGTAGGGATGATAAACCGCCCGGCTTCGGAGTCTCTGGTGTCTTTCCCTTGGTAGGCAACTTGGCAAACAAAGGTGGAGACTCGGAGGAGTCGACGGGCTGAGACACGTCTTCTACTGGCTCTGATAATCCACTCGCAGGTACCGATGGCGGTATCATGGTAGCTTCATTTTCACCTACCTCATTGATACTGAGAGTCGGCTCGGGCACACGATGCTTGGCCAATTTGGCGTCAGCAGATGAAGTGAAGAAGAAGTCACCGTCCGGCGAAGCATCGAGTGACAGGACAGGCTGAGAATGGGGCTGGCTGAGGTAAACAAGCTCAGCGGAACCGACGGAAGGGCCGGTGCAGTCACCCGGGAGCTTGAAGGCTGCGGCGACGCCACCCTCGTACCCAGCAAGGAGCAAGATGTTTTGCGAGCGTTGATGGCGAAGCAGCTTGACAGCCATGACCATGCCTAGGGATGTTAGCGCCTTTTGTGGTTGCAGGGTTGACTCAATCAAGCGAACCTGTCTCGACTGCTTGCACTCGCGGGACTATAATTTTCAGGCTCTCGTCTGGAAGAAGCCATACTTCAATCTGCTTGTCGTCCCTTCCCGGAACAGCTACGAGGATGGGATTAGGGCCTGTCTGGTCTGTGCGGGGCCGCGTGTACTGGCAGCACATGGAAAAGGCACAGAAGTTGAGGGTGTTGACAGGAAGCGAATGGAGCAGCCATGGCAGCGGCTGGGTGTGGTCGTCCGAATCTGCAGGAAGAGCAATCTTGTCTGGCAGACGACCTTGCGGCCTCAGCTGCCATACTCGGAGGGTGTTGTCTCGACCATGACTACGAGGCAGACGTCAATCGGGCGACTTTTTTTATTAAAATGAGGATATCTGGCAGGGACGAATGAGGGACGAGCAAGGGGCGCATGCGTGGTGTATGTAAGGGTGGATAACGAGAGCAACGTACGTGAGGATGCGGTCGTAATCCCATTGGGCGAGGGCGAGAATGGGGCCCGCATGGGCCTTCCACACGTAGACGGCCCTCTTAGTAGCGAGGCTCCAATAGACGACGCAGCCATTGGCATCGCCAGTGAGCAGATAGGCGTTGCAGCGGACAAAGTGCACGCAGTGGATCTGGGAAGCGTGGCCGCGGAGAATGCAGGTGGGCAGGGCGGGTGGCAGGGTGGACGAGTGTTGGGCGACAGCCATGTGTGGTAAGGGTAAGCTGAAGTGGTGGTCTTGGGCAAGACGGCGCGAGATGGGATCGGCGAGGCAGGACGAGTGGGGCAGACACAGCCAACAACAGGCGGGGGCATTTCGGCTGAACGGTCGAGGAGAAGGAGGCCATGTCGAGCCCAAGACAGCCCAGGGAGTAGTGTAGTGACTGCATACCCATACCCATACCCATACCCATTACCTACGCGGCGAGCTGATGGTGGGCCATGCTGGCGTCATGAGAGCGACGTCACGAGGCCGGGGGCTGGCATTTGCAATCCTTCTGTATGTACACCATGTGCGTGCTTGCATAGATACAGCCAAGTGCAATGCGTATCTACGTATGTGGGTGTAAATACTTGGTTAATGTCCCTCCCTGCCGGCCGAAAAACCCACCAGTGCTTCTCGTCATAACAACAAAGTCAACAATCATCAGGAGGCAGGCGCAGATAAGCTAAGAATCAAGAAATCAACTGTACGGTAAATCCAGAAGCGGGATAGCTGTATTTTAGCAATGCCCCCGCTTGCCCCCTGCAGTTTTCGCCACCTGTGGCTCAGTCTTCCCAGTCAACCATCTTCCTCCCACACTCTCATTGAATCCAGTATATCTCGACACGGCCCTGGCCAGAGCGGGTCGGCCGTCCTCCCTGCTAGCGTGGTCAAGACGTTCATCCAATCCCTAAGGTATGAATATGTCAAATTTAGTCGCATGCCAACTCCCCCTCCGCTAAAGTCTGACTCTGCATGCTGCACGTCTGCCACACATTGGGGCTGAGCATTCGGTCCCACCTGTCCTGAGCGAAGCCGTTCCTTCAAATCTTCTCTTGAACTGTCTCATATTCGGTATTTTGTTTTGCTATTATACTTGTTAACTTTAATGACTAAGTATGGTATTCTCAGGCGACGAGTGAGTTGCCGTGCTCTTATCTCTCCACCCGGCCTGTTGCGTTTGAAGTAGGCTATAGCCCAACTGGCCCCTGTTGGACTTCACGCGAAACAATGCGTCTTTTGCGACGCAGCAGTACTGGCGACTTCTGCCTCACTAAGGATCTGATTGGTGATGACACTATTCCTCCGTATGCGATACTTTCGCACACATGGGAAGCAGACACCGAGGTCACCTTTGCAGACATGATAAATGGGACTGGCAAGGGTAAGCTTGGCTATAGGAAGATCCAGTTCTGTGGAGAACAAGCCAGACAAGACGACTTGCAGTACTTTTGGATTGATACCTGTTGTATTGACAAGTCAAACCACGTTGAGCTTCAGGAGGCTATCAATTCCATGTTTCGCTGGTATCAGCATGCGATGAAATGCTACGTCTATCTATCTGATGTTTCGACAGCAAGGCCGAGTGCATATGAATTCTCTGAATTTACTTGGGACTCGTCTTTCTTGGAAAGCAGATGGTTTACCCGGGGCTGGACCCTTCAAGAGCTTCTTGCCCCGCATTCAGTCGAATTCTTCTCCAAAGAAGGCACGCGTTTAGGTGATAAGAAATCGTTAAAGCGGCAAATTCATGAGATAACAGGAATCGCTACCCTGGCCCTTCGAGGTACCCCATTAGAGGAGTTTGGTATTGAGGAGCGATTATCGTGGGCAAAAGGCCGTCGGACCACGCGCAAAGAAGATAAAGCGTACTCGCTACTGGGTATATTTGGGATCTACATGCCGCTCATCTATGGTGAAGGCGAAGATAACGCATTCAGACGGCTTCAGGAAGAGGTCAATAAGCCTTCATACGGCGCCCAACGGAAAACGGATTCGCCTTCTATTGTAGAAGCATCCATCGCCACCATCCAACTCATCAATGCCGCGTCGATATCGATATCCTCCTTTATACGATCTGTCCGCGAATCTCGGCCGGATCTCAACCTTGTCGAAAATGAACTCCAGTCTATCAAGAGGACGCTTGAGCTGCTTCGCGAAGACCTCGATACGGAATCCGGTAGTGGGGCGCCACCATCACTTCCTATCTCCTTCAAGAAACAAATCATCGGAATCATCGACTGTTGTGCTACCACAATTAAGCAAATTCAAGAATCCCTTGAAAAGTCTCGCAACCTTCTGGTCAAGTCTGTCCCTGGCCAAATCACATGGGCTACCAATGGAAAATTAGATATCCAAAGACATCACTCCGTGCTCGAGTCTAATAGACGGGCATTGGATATTGCGGTTGACCTGCTTTCCTGGACAATGACAAGAGAAGCCAAGGACACAACTGTCATCCGAGACGATACTTCTCACATTAGGCAAGATACGGCGCGAATCCTGGAGGAAATAGCCAGGCTCCAGGAGCAACTACCTCGAGATCTGACGCAGCCTAGAGATGAGCGCGGAATTGTGCTAGACAGATATCTGGAAAGCCTCACGTGCTACACCGAAACACTCAATGCCGAAATTGACGCCGACTGGGACAGTAACATCGATGATGACCTGTCCAAATCTGACGAGGATGCGCCACCAAATGACTCGGTTATCCTCCAGCCTTCTCAAACTCAACTTGCCTTGCGCCCTTTCAGCAAGCAGGCCCACGCAGTCGCCTTGGGGAGTCTTGAAAAGATGGGCTTTACAGGACAATATCCTGCCCTTCCCAAAAGCTTCCTCCTCGCAGTCAACAACCGCATCTCAAGAGACCAATTCCTTCAATTACGAACAGGGAACCTGCCGTTTAAGAAATCCGCGCCTTTGCTTTCCATCGGAGCCTTCCTCTTCCCGGGCACAATCCGCGTCGTCACGCAGCGCATGTCACTCGGCAACATTGCGCAGAATATGACGCCAGCGGTGCTCCGCGGGTATCAACGGCGTGCAGTCAAGGGTGTGGCATATCCAGCGCTCATCCCAAGTAATGATCCGCTTGTTGAGACGACAGGAATGATGATATTCGGGCTAAACGTTGCGGATCGGAGGGCAATGGATGCTTTCCAGGGGGGCATGTACGATTTGAGCCGGGTGACGGTGGAGATTGAACTCCAGGATGGGACTAAGGAGTTCCATGAGGCTTTGGCCTATATCTGGGATGGACCATCGACGGACCTTGTTCCAGTGGAAGACATGTCTTGGTCACCGTTGGATATGCTCCGTGACAAATGGTTGTCTGGGATACTCAAAATGGTTGAACACGAGGAGGAGGCGCTTTAGCTTGATACTACGACAAGAGCGATCTACAAAGCTTCACTAAAATCGACCGAGTACATTAGGAGATGTTGTCAGATATAGTACACTACGGCAGTCGGGAAAATACAGTCTCCAGTTGAAGAGACGAGCAGGCAACTCGCCCAGTCTGCTCAGAGGGTTAGTCTCGGAGAGCATCGCATGCCTCTCGACATGTCGAGCAGGCCGAGGACATTGGGTACTGCGGCTGGGAGGCTTGCATATGGGCGAGTGGCTTAGCGTCAAGATGTGGCTTGGAGTTACCCTCCATTCGTATTGTGCAGGAGAATGACTTGCATGTACACTACACTAGTTGCATCGAGCGATGATGTCAGTATTGATAGAACACCGCTAGTCTCTTTTCGATATTTCAGTACAGGTGCAAAGTGGGTCTCTCGCTTGACGATGCCGCTCGACAGAGGCACGCAACACCACTCACTGATGTGCGCATAGTACACAGCTATAGGCGCTGCATTTGGAATACATTCCTAGCATGTTTTTATGCAGCTGAGCAGATTTTTACGAGGATGCATCAGCTCTGGAGCGCGTCCAAGGCTGGCTGAGCCCAGGGTGTTGTGCACGTCGACAGCGAACATGGTATTGTCGGTGGTGCAACAGGGGCTGATTAGAAAGAGGAGAGAAGGTATGACCAAGGCTAAGGGCAGAAAGCGTATTTTCCAAGAGTATTGACGCGTTTTGACAAGTGCTAACGTTGTTGCGATGCAGAAGAGGAGTAGGTTCTTAGCACGCAGGGGGGGGAGGGAGGGATATTGGGTATGTACTTAAATAGATACATACGCAGATACGCAGAAGTAGTGGCCATGCGATTGCCGATGGATGGATGCAGGGATCTCGTATGGCGACGAGCTTATTTGCAGCTGTCTGCAACATTAGACGAGTCTTGCTCCCTGCACCGCCACGGAGCCGCCGACGGTCGTAATCATGGACGCTCTTGACAAGCCTCCGCGGGTCCGACACATGCTTGCACTCACACTCTGTTACTCTTTGTTCGCTCCTCACTCTTCCGCCCAGCCCAGGCCCGTTTTGCGCATTGCGCCCGGGACGGCGCGCACATCACGCCCTTCGCATTCGGACGTCGCACGCCGCCCATCCAGCCAGTGCGCCCAGCGCCAATACGCTCTTTGAATTGCTACTACGCACATCACACGCAGTCTGCGTTACCCGCGCTGCCCCTCGCTTCATGGGCCCTCCCTCCCCTCGCCTCGCCTCGACCTGCCCCTCGCAGGCCCCGGCAGCCACTGCGCCCCCCATGCCATCGCCCGCCCTCCCTATTCCCCGTCGTCGCTCGCCCGCCCGCCCAGCTCCCATCCAATATTCCACCCGTCTGACGCCTTGGCCCTAGTCGACATTCATATTCGTTTCTTTCCTTCTTCCTTTTTAGACGCCGCCTCCGTTTTGCTTCTGCTCTGCTCTCCCCCGACTCGGTGTTCCAGACTCGCGCCCGACACACATCTCCCTCCATCCGATCCCATTCCAGACCATTACCCTTCATCTGCGCCCTCCAACCGTGCGCCCTTGCCTCGACTTCTTACCAATCTACCCCGACACCCAAGACCCCCCCTCCAAACCCACAACCACAACAACCACGTCCACAACCACAAACGTGGAGGGGTTAAAGTAGTCGCTTCGCTGCACGCCCTACTTCAGGGTCGTGGTGGCCTCACGCCCAGCAGCCCCCCCTGCACAGCGACCATCCTCGAACCGGCTCTGTGCGCAACAGCAGCGGCACCATGGCAGACACTGCTACGCCCCCTTCCAACAACGACTCTCCCACCAACAAGACGCTGCCCAACAGGAAACGAGCGAGCGACACCACCGTAGACGACAAACCAAAGCGCACGCGCACCGGCTGCTTAACATGCAGAGAGCGTCACCTCAAATGCGACGAGAGCAAGCCCACCTGCAACAACTGCCTCAAGTCCCAGCGAGAATGTAATTGGGGCAAGAAGCTCAACTTCCTCGACACCACCTGCGAGCGAAATGCATACTTGATCCCCCAGGGCATCGACTACCAAGTCGCCTTCATGGACGAGTCTCGTACAATCGCCTCCGAATACGTCGGTGGCCGAGAAATGTATCCCGTTGAGGAAATGGAGTCTCACATGCCCATGGCCGACAATGCCTTTGGCATGGCCCCACCCCCTGCGTCGCGTCAACACCTCCCACCAATGCAAGGCATCGCCCATGACTCGTACCAACAAGCACAACTCAACTACAATCTGGATCAGCACCGCACACAGCATCAACACGGACGCACAAGTGAGCTTTATCCGCAATATACGAGAGAAGAAAAACGGCTGCTAACTTACATAGTATCCAGTTATTCAAGCGGCCCAACCCCTTCCTCATACACCATGGAACACTCGGCTAGCCCAGGTCCCCTTCCCACGCGTGACTATCTAAAAAGCCAAGAGGAAGTGTTGTACATGCAAGTCTTTGTTGAAGAAATTGGTATCTGGATGGATAGCATGGATGCACATAAGCACTTTTCACGTCTACTGCCCTTCCATGCCCTCAACGAACCCATGTTGCTGCATGCTTTTCTTGCATGTGGTGCACGACATCTTGCCCTTGTCAACCCAAAGTACAGCGAGGAAAAGGCCCTGCATTACTATGATGTAGCCACACGCGACCTACTGCATTCCCTGCAGAACCCCGACCGTGACACCATTCTATGTGCGACTACTGCTGTCATCCTGAACGTATACGAAATCATGGCCGAGCGCGCATTACAACGCATGAACCACATTGCCGGTGCCCGTGCCTTGATCAAGGAGTGCCGCTGGAATGCCCGATCTACAGGCATTGGCGCAGCCTGTTTTTGGCTCAACGTAGGCATGGAGATTCTGAGCTGCCTGCACTTCAACTGGCAGGTCGCGTGGGATCCAGATGACTGGGGCATCGAAATGGACTTTACCCCAGAGACTGAATCCGGAAGAGAAGAAGTTTGGACACATCGGATTTTGTACATTGTCGCTAGGATATGCAACTTCCGCGCCTCCATACCGCGCAACCAAGATATCGCCAGGCAAACATTGCACGACCGCCACAATGAATGGCTGCGACTCAAGGAAATGACTGACAGATGGAATGAAAACATCCCTAGGACTATGCACCCAATGGCCTACCTGTACCCTGGACAAACCATTTCCGGCTCCGCATTTCCGGAAGTTTGGTTAATTAAACGTGCATCCATCATCGCGCGCCTATTCTACCATACATCCCTGGTTTTGTTAGCTCAAATCAACCCCGTACAAGCAGCCAGCGAACCGGAGATGTGGGCAATGCTCGAGCAGAATTCAAAGTTCATCTGCGGTATTAGCGCACATGTCAAAGATCGTGGCGTCGCTAGCGTGGCGCTAAGATCACTCGCCATTGCTGCCGAGCCTTTGACCGATCGCCGCGAGCAAGAAGAGGTTCTCCAAATCTTTGATAAGATCAGACAGGAGACGGGATGGCGAGTGGGTTTTGTCAATACAGAGTTGAAGCAAAAATGGGGCTGGGACACCCCACAGAACCAAGACCAATCACAACAACAGCCGCTGCAGCCGTCTCAGCAGCAACAGCAGCAGCAACAACAACTCAACGGCCAGATGCAAGACGGCAACATCATGTATCCACAGCAGCCGCAAATGGTAGTTCAGCAAATGTCCCAGGTCTCTCTAGCACCTGTGCCAGCTCCGGCTCCCGCCCCAGCACCTCGAAGACCAACAGGCTTTGGCAATCCTCTTCTTGTCGCAGACTTTAGTATGCCGCAACATCCTTACCAGGCACATTACGTTCCAGCCAATATTGTCCAACAGCAGCAGCCCCCAACACTTCTCCAGCCGCCACTTAACGGAGTCAACGGCTACGGCGCTCATTTCTTCTAATACGTTCTTGCCATCCCCATACTCCGCGACTGCGCCTCGTCATCTCTCTTCATACACCAGTGTATTAGTGCAACTCTATTACTTTATGAAAGTTTCTTGCGTGTACAAAAAGCGGATTAAAACGCACAAAGACGGCATTATTTGCGGTATCTTCTTTAGGTTCTACACGTCTACTTAGCGGCGTCTGTCGAGGACGGATGTTTACTTGTTTCCGTTGTAACGACATAATGAGCGGATTTGCATGGGATTAATTTGATAGCTCGTGGAGCTGATCTTGGGACTATTGCCCTTCTTGGCTCGCTGGCATTGGGTTGGGTCAGAAATGTAACCTGGAGAGACTTTGTTTCTTGTAAATATACACATATACCTTGGTTTACACCCGTTGTGGTGTGCAAGTTCATGGAGAGATGCTCAGTAGATAGAAACACACATCCTTATTGGCAAGTCTTGTTCTCAACTAGCTTGCCCCCGCTGCTTATCCGCGTCTTTGTCGTTTCTCTCCATCCAGGCCCGTCTCGCTTGATTGGCTTGACAGCACGTATAATTTAGTGCCATGTGAACACCAGCGGCTCACCGATGGCTGTAATACGAAGAGGCCATCAAGCATTACCGAATATCTGCTATGAGCGTACTGGCGCGGCATGTTTCTTCCGTTGAATCAGTCTTGTAGAGTTGACTTAGTTGATCCAACATTGTCATACTAATGCACCTGTCTAGAGTGGTAGCGGAGAGTATGCTGGCCTTCTGTTATAAGGGCAAGAATGCCGATAACGACAGTCATACCCCGTCGCTTCCTCATTCGTAACCCCTTATTTGTTTCCGAACAAACACCACACCCACTTTCACACTATCCACTTGCCCATCTCTGTTCCATTACACATCTTATCCATGACCTCCACATACGAATTTATCCGATGCAGCATCCACCCGGACTGCATCGGCCCCGCACTCTCCCCATCCACACCATCGTCTCGCCAGCGAATGCACTTGTTTGCTGAGCTCGAATACTCTATACAAGGCCTAGTCGCAGCTTCACCCAGTACCACATGCGTCGAAGTAGAGCACGTAGCTCCAGAAGCAGTAATGGCATAAGAGAACTGGAGACAAGTGGACCTAGCCTCGCAAGCAGCTTTGCAAGACTCAAAGGATAATGACGATGTAGGGTCTGTTTCGAAATCCATGGAGAAACTATCCCAGCCTTCCATCTTTAGTTTTAAGCGTGGGAGGATAAACTGTTTGAACACCTCTCCATGGGTGAGTGTTGTGTTTCCACCTTGTGGATGAGCAGCGCGACTCATCTCCCACGTACTCAGCCTACGAATTTTGCTCTCGTGCATGTGATGATAAGTCATGGAGGCATAACACCACAGTGGGCGCCCAATCTCTACCGCATTGACATCGAGCGCATTGACGGGGTCGCCCTGGAACTGCGGAAACGCCCAGAATAGCGGCACATCGGCGTCTGCGAGTATCTTGCCTAGCACCATATCGCCCGCCCAGTTTGCGGCTGTGTAGTCGTCGTAATAGGTGGGGTGCGTCTCGCGCTGCTGGACGACGCGGCGCATGGCTGGGTTGGAAAGCACAAAGCCGGAGCCACCGTGTGCAAAGATCACGTCGCCAATGGACATTTGCCTGCCAATGTAGAGTGGAAGAGTGGCGTTGAAGAGAGTAAGATACGACACCCAACTATTCCATACCGGGTACGTATCTGCCTCTACAAAGGCGAACCATTTCGCACTCGGTCGATGCTTCAGCGCCTTATCCACCATGGGCAGAAACTTGAATCGATCCAATTTCCATGCCGGATTATCTTGCGCGCCAAGAGGCCCACTACCGCGATGGTCGCCCAAAGACTCATTGGCGATGTCCTGTCTCCCTTGAGTACGAATTCGCTCATACAGTGCGAATTCCTGCGCTGCATATGGCGACTTCCTGAGTCTCTCACTGACAGAACCCTCGAAAACATCATTCACATGATGTCCCGCAATCTCTTCATCCAGATCAGAATACAAGATGTAGTCGCTGACACACCGCAGCGTCGTCTGGAAATGAACAGGCAGTTTCTCCAGCGCCTCGGTGGCGCCAGTTCGTAGAACAACGAGGATGTCATCTGTTACTATCGGTAACGTGGGGCACTGTGTTTGCTGCTCTAACGACGCCCGATACTGCCACGGTAAACAAAATCTGTACACGAAGCATAGCAACAATGCAAACCATACTACCCCTCTTGTCCGCCTACGCTTATGACCTCCCCCTACTTGGGACCGCAATCTAGGCGTTTCCCCTCCTCTTTCGACCTTTTCCATCCAATCGTCTTCGCGCCGCATGTTTGGGATGGAGCGTAGTATATATCAAGAAAAAAAGGAGCGATGTCAACCAAAAAAGAAAATCGGCAAGAATAATACTATGTAAGAGTCCAGATCGACAAGATAAGTTTACTTTCCTCTCACTTCCCGCCCCCTTCGCCTCTTCATTCGAAACCGTATTTACATATCAGGAGCTCATCGAAAAGCTTAATGCTGCGCAGACATCCCGGGTCTGCTTCTTTTTTTGTTGCCAGACGAGTCATCATCATTTGGTGGTCTCATCCGTCTCACGTTGCGGGACCAAGCGGGGTCGATGGGGTCAGTCTGTATTGCCAATCATTTTAGGTTTGACTTTTGGCTAGGCACAGGGCTGTAGAAGAGGTACTTATGGTAAGCACAAAGAGGGGGGGGGGTTAGCATTACACTATTCCTCATCGACTCTGTTTGGTTGGGGATAGCCTTGGAGAGCTGGATGTGGGAAGGTCGATTTTCTCATATTCATATTGAAGAGAAGGGAAAAAACCCGCAGAGGAGCATGTACATGTATATCTTGTCTTTATTTGTGTTGCATTGTCATTGAAATGCCGAGACTTGTGCTTACGGCTACGTGTAATAATGGTACGTCACCAGCGAATAAGAACTAAGTAAGCCGAAATTACTGCGAGCAATGCGCAAATCAAAATGTGAGAATTACAACCGTTTATTGTCACCGTCACCCTCACTATGATCAAGTGCTGCACCGTTATACAAGCATGGAGCGACTCAGATATAAGAACATTTCTCATTCATAGTCATAAACTCAATATATACAGTACGCTTGCTCCATAATCACCCTCCTGACACCCTTTACACGCTTACTTGGATGTATCGAGAACATAGCGTCCAACTACGGCGCCCTGGTGCATCTTGTCATAGACCATTTGCAGTTCAGACAGTCCAACAACCTTGTACGGAGCCTTGATCAAGCCACGACGGAAGAACTCAATCGCCTCTGAGCTGTCCTTGCGGTTACCAACATACGATCCCTGGATTCTGATCATCTTGATGACAGTCTCGAAGACGGGTGCCTTGAGATAAGCACCGGCAGGAAGACCAATGCAGATGACGGTACCGCGCGGCCGGACGTATTCAGCAGCCTGTTGGAATGGCTTCTCATTGACGGCAACAAGAATGACAACGTGAGGGCCGAGACCATCGGGAGTTGCCTTTTGGACGTCGGCAACAAGGTTCTTTGATGTGGCAAAGTCGACGAATGCTTCGGCGCCAAGCTCGCCAATGCACATCTTCTTCTTCTCCTCACCAGAGTCAATGGCAATTGTTCGTACGCCCATGGCCTTTGCGTATTGACAGGCGAGTGAACCAAGACCACCTCCGGCACCGACAATGGCAGCGAATTGGCCAGGCTTGACACCAGACTCTTTCAGTCCCTTGTAGACCGTGATACCGGCGCAGAGAACAGGGGCAATAGCAGCGAGGTCACACTCCTTGGGAATGCGGGCAACGTGGGCAGCCTTGGCGATACAGTATTGCTGGAAGGTGCCGTCGACAGTGTATCCAGAAAGAAGTGGTTTCGGACAGAGGGGCTCGTCTGCTTGTTGGCAAAAGTCGCACGACAGGCAAGAACCGTTCAGCCATTTGACACCTGGGGAGAATGAGCAAGTGTGAATTGGCAGTAAAAGTGAGAGGAGTCAATCATACCGACATGGTCGCCAAGCTCAACGTCGTTGACAAGCTCTCCTCGTGCAACCACGACACCGGCACCTTCGTGACCACCAACAAGAGGAAGTTTGGTTGGCTTGTGGACGTTAGCATCTCCAACAAGAAAGAAGACCGGTTATATGTACCAATGGCCAGTCGCCATTGACGGCGTGTAGATCGGTGTGGCAGACACCAGAGTATTTGATGTTGACAAGAACCTCATCTGGGCCAGGCTTCTGTACTGGGATCTTCTTGTACTCGACGGGGCCGCCGGTCTTTTCAATGACCTGCGCCCATTGCTCTTGGGGAATGCTGCTCATGGTGATGGAGGCGATGGATTGTTGTGGAATTGAGTAGCTGGTGATGTGAGTGTGTTGGATGACTACAGCGTCACGGAGGGCGCGAGCTTTATATACTCAGTAGTGAGGCAGTGAGGGCTCAAGGGCTCAACCCCACTCGGCAGCAAACGGATGACGCCAGGGTCTGGATACAAACGCGCCTTCACGGAAGGAGCTGTGTGTAGGATTGCGTCCGTTCACCCATGGCAAATGCAAGCGTCATGCTCGGCGTGCCGGAGGTGAGCGATTGAGGACTAGGCGGCCCCATTGGCTCATTCTCACGAGGTACAACTGGACAGTGGACCTCTTGGAGGGGTCAAGAGATCAAGATTGGATGGACTTGCGGATCATGATGCATCGGTTGAGTGGCAGCAGCAGTAGCGTGAGCAGCGAGGTTCCGAGGTCAGAGCAAAGTCAGCATGAGCAGACTTTAGCGCGTGTAAATCAGCCCAGGGGCCAGGGCAGTTGCAAGCCCGCGTCTGTTATGGTGTGAGGGGGACTGGGAAGGGCGAGGTCTCGAGATGGAGGGGCGCTCCAACACCAGGCAGCTAGCTTCTTTCAGCCAAATATCTCCTGATACTTTCTACTCCCCGTCCACGGCCGCGCCATACAGAAAAACTCGAGCGCAAGTTGTTCCGTCTTGCGGTTCCTTTCAGGGCCCATACAAGTGCTCAGTAATTTGCTGAGCCCACAATGGTCTTTCGGTCGTATGCTCCTATGGACGGCCGCAATCCGGCCCCTCCGTGACCATCTTCGCCTGACAGCTCCACTACCAATTCCGCGGGAGCCCATGTGAAACGAACATCGACATGAATCCAAGGGCTGAGCAGGCACTCCAACTGGGTCGGTCGAGCGCAAAGTTCAACGCTATTCACAGACAACGTGCGCAAGCTCTTCAGCCACACGTAGCCTCGCATACGTATGTTCCACTTCAGGAAGTACCACGTCGCGGTCGTCCAATGAGATGACCCAGCACTGCCTTCGGACAGTTCCACCGCATGCGGCTCCTGGTCTACCATGCGGGGGTGTTGAGGTTCGACTACCATGGTCGTAGTGCGGCCGCAATCGCGGGGTAGTGCACGGAACGCTGCCCACCGTTCAAGGCTGCGGAGAAAAGGACGTCAAGCGACTGACAAGGAACCGAGCATCGTTATCGACGGGGGACGGCCTGATTCCAAAAAGACCTCCGAGGCCAGTCTTCGATCTTGCCTGCGAGCACAGCACGGTCGTCAGATGGAGAGGTTACCGTCATCTTGCAATCCGCATACGGCGCACACAAGGCCCCTCTTTATCTTCATGTCTGCGTGAGAACCCTGATGTATACTTGAGAGCCTCGGTGACGTGATAGGGCCACTGTGTGCTACGCGCCGGCATATGTTGAACATGGGCGATTCTTGGCGAAGAGCATCATACAACTCCCAACACCAACCTTACGGCCGCTAGACAACCAAATAACTGTTACCACCATCACACATGACGACATACTACAGCAGGTTGGGCAAAGCAAAAACACAATCAACAATCAAGGCTTGTATTGCGGATACAAAGTTCCGTGTTACCGGAACTTTACAGTGGCATCGTAGCCGACTCGACGTCTCTAAAACCCTTGTCGCTCCTCCCAAACCATATTATCTATTGTAACGCATGACCCGATCCAGACAAGATAGTCCACAATGAATAGACGCTCAGCGCCAATGCTTCTACTGTACCATCACATCAGCAGCCTCATTGTGCCCGTTGGCCGGCCTCTCGTCGGCGTCTTGCAACCCGAGAGGAAGGGAAGGAGGAAGATCCTTTCCGGCTGCCCGTGCCTTTGTCTCCGCCCATTGCCGTAAGCGCACTAGGCTCCTCATGCGAGATTCTCCGCGAGCCCCCATACTAGTAAGGATCGCTTCATTGACCTTGCTCGCGACATTCCTACGTAGCGACGGTTCCAACAATTCACTAAGCTCCCTCTGAAGAGTACCAGAAGCGGCAGGAAGAAATATAAGCAACGACATTGTAAGCTCAAGATCCCTCAGAAAATCAGGGTTTGTGGCCGCACGGGGAGCAAGCTGGGACGAAGCAAAGCTGAGCGCAGGTGTGATATCAGAAGCAGTAGACGATGTGCACACCCGGATGAGCTCGATCAGCTGTAACCTAAGTAGGTCGAAGTGCAAGGCTGGGTCTGTGTCTAAAATCTGGCCGGTGCATTAGCAAAGTTCAACGATAAATACGCCAGACGAGTGAATGTAGTTGCTTGCAATCATACTGAGGACTGAAGGTTTGATTATCATCAAAGAGATTCTGCGTGGTGCATGAAACTGGATCTAATCCTGCAAGGTGGTGGGAAGTATAAGTGGAAGTGTCGCATACCTGAGGGTTCAAATCATTGATCTTAGTGATAGCAGTATCGATATCACCAGCATGAATAGCCCGACGTATTTCTACGCGGGACTGGATGGACTCCTCCTCAAGAGGAAGCTGGATGTTCGCTTCTTTTGCAAACTTTTCAGCGGCTCTAGGATAGCCTTCGCTAACGAGGTAGTCCATGATGACAAAGTTGATATCCCTACAGAAGAGGTGTTAGCATTGATGCGCCATATACATGCAGGTACAGCAGCACACGATGCAAGCGCTACCAAGAGATCAGAGATACAAGTTAATATGTTCTCCACATGTTGGTTCGGAGAGATTCCCAACTTATTTTGAAATCATCATTCGAAGGAGGTAGCGGAAGCGACGCGGACGGTGGGGGACTTACGTCTTGGACGGTTTGACATCGTCGACCTTCCTCTGGAAAGGATGATGTTGGGTAGGCGTTGCCGCCGACACGGAAACTGTGGATGAGCTCTGCAGGGTGGTTAGATGGTGGGATAGGTCGCAACAACAGGTGCAGCAAATGTGGCTTACCATGGTGAAGCGAGACGCCCAGCAAGCCTCAACCGACGTCCATCAGTAAGCGATACGAGCTGCCCGACCGTT